CAGACAGCACCCTTGTAGCTATTGGCTACTTCTTTGCTTCGATCACCAAGGCGAGCAGCGCACTAATCCCTGGTCTCCTGTGGTCCCTTCGGTGTCCTGTTGCCATTTAGGCGTTTCTATCTGAATTTTTTGTCAGGATGTTAGTCAGCGGTGTTACGGCACGATGATTTAATTTATACTCTTATCACGCACTCTCATTGCGTCACTCTAACTGCGCTACATATGGCTCATTCAGTTGCGCGTGTAAACAGTTTCAAATAAGTATTAATTAACCAATTAATTTTAATTGGCTTAATAAAGGAGTCTCTGATTAGAACTATGTGCATCGCCATTTATCGTTTCGGCTCAAATGACGTTTCTCTGCCCAGCATCTGCTGCAGCTAGCATTATACGCTTAGAATTTCTAACCTCTAGTTTTAATCATAACTTAAAACAACATGGAAGTGCATTTAATTATAACCAGTTTCCCCAGATGCGTTTATTAAATAAGCCATAGGATCCCATAGTCTTTAAGTGAACATGCAAAAATGCTAACTGCCTCAAATAAATCAATAAAAATCCCGGTATTGAACTTCTAAATTTAGCTATAAAAAGGATTTTGATGGTTGGCATAAACGATTATCCACAAATATTAAGGAGGGGAATTTATCCACAGAAAAGTCTTACATGAAGCTTTAAAAGGCAACACAAAAGACCAAATCTGATATCTTAAAATTCATACTTGGCTGCGAGGCTTGGAAAATAAAACAAAAGAAATCATCTTGAGGCTCAATAATGAATATATCGAAAATGGTCTATTGCACTCTATAGTTTGCCGGGTAACAGAGGGGATTTAAGATAATCACCTTGTGGACATGCCCTACAATCAAACGGACTTTTCCCTGGAGCATTATTGTAATGGACAAAAGTCCCATTTTCGCAGTGAAGGCAGCTGTCATTTACAAAAGCCAGCTGGTCTGAGTAGAAACCTCCTGGAAGAAGAAAGGATGAAAAATGGATCACTAACGAAGGAAATTAAAAAATGATATAAAAGAAAACTTACAGGGATTTAATGGGAACCTAAACTCTCAAAAATATTGAATTGACTTATGACAGCATAAATTTTATTAACTACCCCGTGAAAGAAAAAATTGAGCTCATGCAAACCTTGCAATTGAAGTTTATTACACACCTTTTGAGGTAGCTAAAATAGTGAAAATGCTAACTTTTACACTAATGAAGTTATAAGGTCATAAATGACATTTCATCACTTTATTTGTTAGGCTAAAGAAGTACAAAGTTTTTTTTTGCGATTACGTTAGCCTGTCTCGTTCTTTAGGGGGAGGGGTGGAGGCACTTGGACGGCTACAAAACAGGGTTAAAAATGACGGAATGCAATTAAGGTTCTGGAAAGGTCGGCTCTCCTATTTTAGTAAGGTTTATGAATTATTATACAGTAGACAAGTTTCAACGTAATTAAACCTGGTCCCAGCGAGACAAGCAGCTAAAAACAACCACCGAGATAACGCACGTTAGTTTAGGCTACTGAATCCTAATCACATGCTATAATCAAAACAATTAAACTTTTGCTTCATATTAACTGAGGATTTGTGCAGGATGTTATAATTAGATTCATGCATTTTCTAACTTGCAGCCAACGGTAGTCAGGTAATTTAAAAAGATAGCAGCCTCCAATTATCGTGAGTACAAATTTAACTCAGTTCCAATACCTGATCGGGAATTGTTACTGTATTTGCTAACCACAAGAGAGAATGAGCTAAGAGAGCGAATCCCGGTGCCCCATGATAGTTTTTTAAAATCTATTTAAAGTTGGCGCGCGTGCTGCGAAGGTTATTTTTATCTGTTGTTTCCGTGACCAGCGCGGTCTACTTTCACGTGAACGTGACATGTTTCACCGCCAAACATTTGAAGTTTGACAGCCATTATAGTAATTAGCGCCCGGAGCCGAATCGGCTTCTGTTGTTGACATGTTTTTGATCAGCGCTTTCCGCTCATAATTTAGGAACGAATTTCATTTACAAAGAGATTGCAGTATTGGAGTCAAAACTTGAGATTTTCTAACGGCTGATAGCCTCATTTAAGGTAACGAATCTTGAATTCTGACACACTGTGAAAGCCAGAGGCAAAGGTTATCCCGCGCGATTGTTTATGCAAATGTGCAAGTTTTTTTTTCTCTTTTTCCAGGAATATTTTTCGTTCAGAAACAGTACATTTGCTTTTAAGAATTATTCTTGAGAGTTTCTTCTTAACGTCTAATACTTGCGATGAATATTTCGCTGTGCAAACACAAATCAGGCCAGATACTTCAAGCTGTTAAACAGTCGCTAACCTGGATGCCAGAGAGTTTTGATGCCCGGTTTCTGGTTTCGGTCAATTCTTTTATAGTGAGCGGTGTGCCCACATTTGTCTAGCGTCCTCACAAAATTCAAATGTTTGAACCCACTTTGAACCTATTTTCTCGTTACGTGTCCACGGTTGGATCCAAACGACGGTATCACAGCTCGCGGGTGTGCGTGGATGTCGCCGGAAGAGACGGTTGTCGTTTTTTGCAATAGGATGTTTGTTTTTTATATATTGATGTAGCGAAGACCTCAATAAGCAGTTTCCGCCGAGTTGGAACCGCGTTCTCCGGCAGACTCCCACAAGCCTGGATCGCTTTGCTCTTCGTCAGCTACTCTGGCCAGATTATTCCACGTATAAATCTTTTGACTCGTCCAGGAAAGTAATACCAAGTTTGCATGTCATATCGCTTGCTGTGCGTGATCGGCAGTGAAATGAATTACCCGCCAAGTTAAAATTACATGACGCCTCTCTAACCGACCAATAAGGTGGCGTCCTGAAAATAACCACGCAGTATGACACAGAACCAAGAATAGATTGAAAATAATTTTCATAGGAAGAGGGTCATGTATGGGGGATTCGTTCTCTTAGATCATTCTCTCTTGCTAACCATTATCATTATCCTATTTTAGTGGATCAAAAGTTAAACGATGAGAACAAAATGTATATATCAAAGGCAAGTTGATGTTATCTCCACGATTAAAGATGTATTGTCAACTAGATTAAGAGGTAATTTACCTGCTGGACACTCTTTGCAATTATTGTCTTTAGAGGAGACATTAACGAACCACCCCAGTGAACATGGTAGTAATTTGTATTCTCCAACTTGATTGGCAAATCCAGATCGTTTAAAAGCCGACATTAGTTCGTTTTTAACGCTAGTAGGTGCAAAAGTCCGAGAGATGTCGATATATTTAGAGTCATCCTGCTCTAAGCCGCTAAAGTGAAAAATAAGAGAAAAAAGACAAAATAAGTGCTATCTAGGGGCTAATGATAAAGTGAAAAAATAGCTGCACATATTCAAATTTTTCATATCTTTGTTGTTATGCTAATTAACTCACAGATGAACTGTTGTTGTTGATCTTGCTTTCCCCAATTTCATAATCCCAATTTTTCCTTCTTCCAAACTTCTATTGAAAAAGAGCAGTAGAGAGGTGATAAGAATCGCTAAGTTTGGAAGGCGGAAAGAAATCTGCAGATGATACAATAGGGTCCCGGCGCAATTGTTGAGGAAGTCTTACGAGAGTCTCAATAGGGTTAACCGATAGGCGTAAAACGGCCAAAAATTTAGTCGATAGCCGTAAAACTTGAAAAATTTTAACCGTTAGCCGCAAATAGGGTAAAAAAGAGTTAACCGTAAAGGTAATTGGTCCCTAGATTTGGTAAACTCACTTAATGGTTGCGGAAGGGACGTCTGTGGGGGAGTGGGGACGACGACTGTACCCAGGATATCTGAAACGGATAATCCATCCGTCAAAATTGGCAGGTAAAGTCAGGCGGATGGTTCATTCCAAATTAAGACCATTCCATTTTCAAATTAAGACGTACTTCCTATCGACGCGAATTATCAAACGGATAACCCATCTGTCATGAAAAATCCGTCTCTAGTGTGAAAACGGCTATTTCTGATATAAATGAACGTCCCCCCCCCCCCCCCCAGCCTTGAGTTGGGCGTTCGCGTGTCTGCTTTTGCTTTCTCACAAAGATTATTTTTAAATTGACTATTGACATTTTTATATGCGTAAAACACTCTTAGAAATGGAATACTTTGTAAAAGTATGATCTATCAAATGTCAAATTTTTCAAAAGAATAGCTTCCTTTTATCCCGAGATGATCCTAAGACCTTACTTTGCTTTGAAGATGCAACAAATGCAGGTTTATTAATATTTAACTCTTTGAAACAAAAGAAATTAATTTTTAACTTTTTTGTTATTCGTAACTGAAAAAAAATTAACGATAACCGTAAAAGAGCCAAAATTTTAGCCGATAACTGTAAAAGCCACCACCCCTTTGAGACCCTCTTTTACGGGTTTGTTTTTTGTTTGTGAACCCTTGAAAGCCATTGTATTCCTCAAATTTCCTCTTAAATCTGGACTCTCATATGCAATAGTGAAGGAAAAGACGAATTTTACAGACAGACACGTACACGTTTTAAGCATTTTTGTAAAAAAAAAAAACTATTCAATTGTACTGTTTTGACGAGAGAAAACTGCAAAGGAGCGAGGAAAAGGGGAAAAATGCTAAGCAAAGTTTCGCTTCACATGTATTGTCCCTACTCCTGTGCGCCATCGACGAGGTGGGGAAAATCAACCGTTTTCCTAGGTGAGACTAGGTAGCAGGAAAACTACAGGTATTCTGTTTTGTACAGGAAGTTAAAAGATTAACCTCTTTGCAACTATTTAGCTTGATAGTATCCTCTTTTTTTAGCAAAAGAGCAAGTGAAATCTTAATTTTTCCCTCTGAACTATAAAAGAATAAGGAAGTGTACGCATGACAAGTAAATATTCTCCACATCGTACTGTTAAACTCATCCCATTATGGCTCTTGACTCATCACATTTGTGACAACAGTAGACGAGGTAGTTGACTGCTTTTCACCAGCCATTTAGCGATGAAGAATGAAGGAAAGACTTAGCGTGACAAAAGTGTAGAAAGTGTACTTACATTTTAGTCGTGAAGCCAGGGTCCTGAATGCCGTGGAAAGATCGAAGGCTAATTGTCTTTATGTTTGTTCGTATCGCGTATCTTAAAGAAATTAAGGAAGAAACATTTATTATGATAGATCACTGCATTTCCACCGTTTTGATTTGGTGGTATCATAAGTGTATCTGCAATTGAAAGTTTTCTCCTAAACAAAAATTTAACATCTTAGAGGGTGGGCAGCACCAAAGTCAATCAAATGAAAACATTTCAAGCTACAAAAAAGGAGAAGAAGGATCGACTTAAAAGAGAGTGGGAAAATGCACATCGCCTGCATTTTTAATTTGTTCAAGCCTGACGCATCTTTTTGTTGGCAACTTTGACAATACATGAAACAATTATCAGTGGGAGAGACCCTTCTACAACGAATAAAGTACTTTAATTTAATTATCACCCATTGCGGTCATCAAAGTAGTATTATCCTTTTATTTCGTCTGTTTAACTTGAGTCACTCTCCAAAAGTCAGAACTGGCCGTGGCTGGACTGGCCATTTTGAAAATGGAATAGACTTTTTCCAAGAGTTTTTGATAAAAACCTATTTCCTTCGTGCATGCTATTTAGGGTTTGACTGATCTGGCTGGATAGTTTTGATTAAAAGTGAAATTCCTATCACGACGGGAATGGCCTAGCCTGCAGTGCAGGCGTATTTTTGGTGGGCGAAACCTTAATTGTTCGTGTTCGTATGTAGCCGCCATCTTTGATTTTATGACAGTGGAAGATTGGGGAGAGTAGAAATAGTAACCCTTACGGTAGGTGCGAGGGCAAAAGAAGGAAAGGGGGGAGGGGGAGGGGAGAAAAAAATACGCCTGCCCGATATCATTGTTCTTTTGGGAAACTCCTTGCGCTGGCAAACGGAGTTCCTGATTGGTGCGGCATAGGGAAGTGGATTGATGCCTGTCAATTAACTGTAAGTCTATAATGTTTATTCCGTTTCCGCAGAAGCCCTTTTGGAATTGGAGCACAGGGCGCCCACACAATCTGTTTGTGTAGCCGATGGTTATTTTATAGTAAATGTACTGGATTTACCGTTTGCTTCACCTATAGCGATATATCGCTAACTATGTATATAAATCAATGATAAATAAGCATTGAATTACCTTGCCTTTGGTGTATAGTCGTCCTTTTGCCTCAAAAGCGGTTTTTTGAGCGATTTTGAATGAATTTGAGTTCGCCGTTGACTGTTATTATATGGAACAATTACGCAATGAGAAAGTCAAAGCGATTTCTACACTGGTCATCAGGACAAGATTTGCTCGCAGTTCTAATACTTACACCACTTTAACCTCATGCCAAAATGCTGCTTGTTCCAGTACGTTTTTTTTCTGGCGAGTAGATTATGCTCTAGAGGGTTCTATGTTTTGACTGAGCAAATGTGATTTTAGCCGCTTGTTTCACACTGAGAGGTCATGACGCGCTTATTGATTTTCTCTGGTTTTTGAATTTCTGGTCTTCATGATTTGTCCTCTGATGCAAGAGCGTTTTCTTTGACCTCTTTTGAAGCGTAAAGGCTGTTCGGTTCTTTATTTTTGTCCAAAGTGCCTCAGGATCTGAATAACTAAGCGATTTTCTTTCTAGTCCGAGAATGTGATGTTTTCCTGCAATGTTGTATCACGCTGGGCCCAGCTCGTTAGTTTTTTAAATTGTTTGCAGGATGTTAAACTCTCACGAATAGCGATTTACAGAGATGAATTTAGAAGAATGAATTGCAGCTTAAACTGAAGCTTCATCAGCTGTGGAGAATTGCATTGTGACTCAGTCAAGATAAAAACAATGATAAACTCCAGCTTGTTTTTCTTAAGACAATGCGAGTCTTTGGACTGAGTTTGCCTAATCGTCGTGGGTCGTGGGTCGTGGGTAGAAGTCGTGGGTCGTGGGTGTGGGTGTGGTTGTGGGTAAAAGTCGTGGGTGTGGGTAATGATTAAATAGTAATTTTTAATCATAATTAATAATTGACAATGTCACTAATTTTTGTTAATTTTTAATAATAATTAATAATTTACAATATTACAAGTTTTTGATTTTTTTAACTACTCGATAACTAATAACATAACAAAAGAAACATAACACAATGTATGAAAATGGGTGGGGTTAGGTAAAGGAAGAAACTAATAGGAGCTATTTTCAGGACTGGTGTAATCTCTTGATAATACTTTGAGAAAATTTGTTTTGGTCAAACGCTTGAACAACACGCACACAAGTTAACTTAATGCTAAAAAGAGCAAATCGGAAAATTAAGGAAGCCGGGATCAGTTCCATATAAGAGTAGTCAATCATTATTTATCGGAATAAGCAATACGATGCTTATCTTTGAATTGATCCCAATTAGTAGACACAAAAGAAAAGCAACGAGTTTGGGGCAAAAAACAATTTAGGGTAAAACAAGCAAGGAGAGGCCGCAAGTGACCTTTGAGACGACGCTGAACTCTATACAACCGAGAAGAAACCCGACGCGGGTGCCAAAAGACAAGAAACACAAAAGGGGGATGTGTCCCAAATTTTAATTGCTTTGACAAAGCCAAAACCAGCACTCGATAACAATTTCAAAATCCTTCTTCCAAGTCGTTTCCTGGGCATTACATATTTAAACAAATTAATAATTTCCATAAAAAGTTTCAATTTTTTGAAATGATTCATTTTGTTTTCTGGAAAAGACCAGACACGGCAGAGTAGCGTGGTCACACCCAGTCAAGATACGGACGTTTCATTGTTCTTAGAGAAGTATTGTATTACTTTGCGCTAGAGATTGGTTCGAAGTGTTGCTTTTCCAGAGCGGTCGCGGTTAAATTCTGCTATTTTTGCTTTATTTGGGAACTAACATGTTAGCCAAAAGAACTTACGCCGAAGTTGTTTCGGGAATTGACAATACGCCTGATTATGGCCAAAGCTGGATGCAAGCTTACCAGAAGGAAAGCGAAGAAGATGCCCTACTACGCGTTTTTTTAGTGACGTTCTTCCGTTGTTAGTGAAATAAGTTTAGCTTTCGCAAGACCCTTTGAAAGCGTTTTTGGCCAGTTTATGGTGGAGACAAAGTTTGACAGCTTTCCTATGTCAACGTTATATTTGAAGACAAAAATTATTTCAACGTTATTTCTTTTTCTTTTCGACTGCTCCTGTACCCACCACCACCCCCTGCGCTGGCGGTCGATGATCTCTGGTAGAGTAACAGAGTAGGGGAAGTGTTGTATAATTTTCATACATCGTGTTATGTTCGTTTTGTTTTCGAGTAGTTAAAAAATTCAAAACTTATGATATTGTAAATTATCAATATTGAACAAAAATTAGTGCCATTGCTAATTATTAATTATGATTAAAAATTACTATTTAATCATTACCCACACCCACGACTTTTACGCACACCCACACCCACGACCCACGACTTGTACCCACGACCCACGACCATTCACAAACTCCTTTGGACTGGAGCGACTGTTTGGTTGTTTTGTTATTGTCGGCTACTCATTTCCGGAAGAACAGTCACGCGCGTCTAATCAGGGAGTGTTTCTCATTTTCACAGTGTTTCGGGCAGGCGTTTTCTCTTCTCTCTCCCCGCCCCCTCCCCGCTCCCTTTGACTCGCCCCATCTCCTCCTCTCTTTGGGAAGTTTCAACGTGGCGCTTTCGCGAGCAAATTGCGCGCTCAAAGAAAACGCATGCACTGCAGGCTGGGAATGGCCCGATCGGTCAGTTCTGACAAATGGAAAGCGCCCTTAAGCACATGTTTTACTATTCCCTGTCTAAAATAATAACAGAATTAACAGCAATAGTGTTAAATTGGAATACCAAAAAAAATTAAAAAGGCATTAAAATAGGACTATTAACAATAAAGGAATTGATTGATGAAATAAATCTCTAAATCATGATCTACACTGAGCACTGTATTTTACATGGTTTTGGTTTTGAGAGATTTCATTGTTATTACCGAACTTTTATCTTTTCAAACCTGTTTAATCTTGAAAAGTTCTCTGCTATTATTAATTCATTCTCGGCCTTTTTTTGCTTCTTCGCCTTCCTTTAGTTATTTTATCGCTACTGTCTCTTTAGCGCATTTTTTGTCCTTGTTTTCGTGGGTCAGAAGGCGACAGTTCTCCACCTGGGTCACCTGTTATTTATTATTTATTACAATAAATTTCTGCCGGATACAACACGCAATGAGATTGGTTGAAAAAGCATGTTTTATCACAGATAGCCCAAGCTCGAAATATGAGCATCGGCGAGCATCGGCATTGTTACGTAACAATTAAAATATAAGGATTTGTATGGGAAAAAAACCTATCGTTTCCGTAACCTACGAAAATGAAAGGATTTCAATAAAAAACAGCTTACCTTACTTAAAATGTGTGTTACGTCTCTTCTGTGTGGTCCACGGGCCGATTTATGGCCGTTTCATGGGTTTTTATGTAAACGGTTTTCTCTCTATATAAAGGTTTATATAGGTGCATTTTTTACTCTATGTTCAAGAAAATTACCTTTTTAAATGGGAATTTATGTAATGTATAAATGTTTCAAAACGTTTGTAATAGACGCTAAAGAAAATTACAAAATAGATGGACTTTGTGTTGAATTTTGCCATGTGCTCATCCGATTTTGCTTGTTTTCAACGATAAACTTCTTAGTTTTTGAATAAAAATTTTCAACAAGTAACTTCTCTGTCTATCTTTTTTGAGCTATTGTTCATTCATAACATTAGCTCAAAACACGATCGCGAGACCACAGCATTACTTCTGAGAAAACGTCGGCGAACAGGCCAGTTCCGAGTTTCCCCGAGCCTCTCTGTCAAAACGAGGGTAGGTGCTCAGCCTTTGATATAGAAATCATTTTTCATTCTTATGCAAATAAAACTCATTTCCACAAGAAAGGTTGTGCACCTAGCCTCATTTTGAAAGTGAGGGTTTTTGGAACTCGGAAGTGGCCTATTTTATAGAATTTTTTAGTAAGCTTACTTTCAGGTTCAGTTTTCATGGGCACTTCTCGATACGAGGCTAAAGCAGGTTGCTTTCAAATTGTCATGTTTAACGACGTCCATTAGTGAACCGCAATTCGTCCGGGTTTAAAGCACTTTTTACCTTTAGAAACTGAATTTTGGACATAAAAAGTACATTTCTTATGCATTCAAATTCACTGAACGTTTCGCTCGTTTCACTTTGTGATAGCTTTGATGCTTTGACAGCTTTTGTCTTATTCAAACAATCAATCGGTGAGGGTAAAAGGGGGAATGAGTTTGCGGAATGGTATGTGGCATGGCTTGAGGAATGACATAGTTATGCGGAATGTAATATAAGCAGAATGACTCAAAGAAATAAATTAAACTGAAAATTGCGCCCTTTTTTGGCGGCGCCAATCAATTCACAAGCAGCCGCTTTTTTAATGTTGCGGGCTCAACAACGATGACAATCAAAAAGCCAGGAAGGACTCCTTCATTTATCACGGTCGACTAGCTTTTTTCGAACAGCATCAAATATATTCTGCCGTGCCTTTATTAGTCGGGCTGCATGCATGGCAGCACCGATACTACATTACAAAAGTCTGCCCTTGAGATGTTTTGGAGGGTCACCGGCTCCCTTCTACCAGGTGACTTTGATTTCTGCAAAAGATATTTGCACGATCAACTTCACTTTTTTAACCTTTATTTACATTTGAAACCACGTGAGAAGTGTTTTTTTATTTCAGACGGCGGGTCGCGTGATCGTGACATAATATTCAGAGATCGACGGTATCTTGTATTTTGTTTCCTTGGCTGCGTGGTAAAGTTTCAGGCGCGCGAAGCTAATAACAGCTGGCGGAGAAGCACGAGCTCGAATCCTTGCAAATGAGTTTGTGTGCTTTTCTCTTTCATTCCTTTCTTTTCTTTTTTTCCCTTCCTACTTTTAGCATTTTTTCACGATCAAACGCACACCGGCACTGACACAACCAAGGGAGGTGCAAAGAGACGTGGAAAGGTCGAAAGGAGACACTGGAGAGCAGTTCACTTCACTCGATTTGTGGATTATAGATTAATGTTTGACGCGGGGCGTTCATTTAGTCTCCAATATGATCTGATTCGTTCACCGTATTAAAAAATCCCTAGAATTGTAGCTAGCCCGACTTCACGTTCAGCGAGCGTTCCTTACCCCTTAGATCCCTCTAGCGTTACGATTAAGAGTCATCCTTGATTTGAGTTTAGCCAAGAAGTAGAGGTTATATACCCCTAAAAACCCAGACAGATTTACAACAAGATACTTCTGCACGTATTTACGAGGCTTTATATTTGTTTATTTCATTTGGGGCTAGGCTGAGTCTGCGGTTTCCTAACAGCTTCGTTCCCAGTGTCCTCTCTCTTCCTCCGTTCTATTTTACCTCGTCTACCTTTACGATGTTTTTCTATGTAATTAGGAGAGTAAAAACTCGATAGGAGAATGGTTAAACTTGACATGTTTTCGTACTTTCACTACGCGTCACTGGAAAAGAGACGTCAGTAAAGAACCGTTTCAGTTTATTTTGGAAAGAGTTATCGATGACTTATCAAGTACTGGTGTATATCAAGTATTTGTGTACTGACAATTTCCATATTAAGCACTCGACAACGGACCAAGTGAAGAACTCCTTTTTTAAGAATTGGTGCAAAAATATGGAATAGTATTCCCGACAGTGATCGTGTTCTACCTAAATATAAATTTAAGAATACCTTACAGAGTCGGCTACTGGATATTTTGATACAGGAGGATACTAATGTTGGCCTGCGTACTTTATTGGCATATTTAGTAAATATTGAATTATCAGTTGAATTTCATTCATACCTTGTTTCATTTACCTATTTTGAAATATATGTATTCTCTGTCTTGTTAATTTAATGTGTTGATGTTCGTGTTTCTGTTTAACTTTATTGTTGTGTTTCAACCATATTATTATAAATTTTTTTACTTTTCCTTCCGCCTCGATTAGCTATAGGCTACTTTGCGGACAAGGATTAATTATGGCATGTATCCAAAGTGCTTTTCATAAATTTGATCTCGAACTTGAACTATCAGATGTGTTTCAATTTTTAACCTTGTTTTAATAGCAGTAATAAATGGACCGGCAAAGCGGTTGTTCCTTCAAATTGGCACCAGAGAAGGCGCGCGCGGCAGAGACGCGCGCATGCTTTCCTGTTTAATTTATTTGTTTGCGCCATTTTCGATAAATTAAATTCCGCATACTTATGTCCGCAGGGCCATGCCACATGCCATTCCGCAAATTCATTTCTTCTTTTACCCTCACCGTCAAATCCGAGATTTCGCCATTCTATAAAACGGATTGTGACTGGCTAATTTAAGCATGTTTTATGAGAGTATAACATGTTGACGGCACTTTGGTTCGCTGTGAAAATAAAGTTTGTTTTGGGAAATAGAAAGCAATGCGTTGGGAGTTTAACGGATTCTTTATCATAAAACAAATAAAGAAGCCTTGACTGTGCTCTATTCTGTTGTAAAGCGCTTAGAAAGAGGCTAGAACACTCAAGAAGTAGGAAGAAACACTCAACTGTCTCGTTTTTGCTCTACACTTCTTTCGTGAAAAAAGTAAATAAACCTTGATCAATCCTCAACAATCACGTCATCGGATTTTGTGGTAATCGTTATGATTTGTGACGTTAGTGAACGTGACATTATTCAGGACAAAAAATAACACACATAAAAAAAAAACTGCGAAATATAGCGAAAGAATGTAGGTTACATACAAAGAAAGCAGGTTTACATCTAAATTGATGTGCAGCAGTTGATGTGGAAAAAGCTTTCGAGTTTTTAGAGCTGCTTGCTCAATTACGGGAGTCAATAAAACCGCTCTGGAAAACAAGCTAGAGCATATTCTAGAATTTTTATAGATAATATTGGAAACCAAGGATTTATTCCAGAAATCATATATTACAAAAAAAAGTTAAGTAAAAAAAGGAAAGGAAAGAATCACTTTCCTTTATTACAGTACATCGAAAACTTACACTAATGGGTTGGAATAGGTTGAAATTGCATCTGATCCAATAATCTCCACTGGATTATCTGAAAGCATTCTGAAAAAACAAACAGACAAACAAATTTGTTATTTAAAGGAAGGGCGATAGCGGTGAACAAAAATTATAAAAAAATCCTTATGGTCTCGAACGTTTGCATTTCACTTTGCTTGGCGTGTAAAATTCTACGCGGAATTTTAAGAGGTTGTCCGCGTAAGAACGGAGAACACAATTTTTCTACGTTCACCGATTTTCTTATTATCGTCCAATTTTGGTTCTTCTGATTCTATCCAAGAGCTTTGAGAGGCCCATCTATGACTCTGTGTACTCGTACCTATCTAGGTATAACCTGCTGTATGGATTGCAGTATAGTTTTTGAAGAAGAGAATTCAACCGATCGAAACTGCATTGCAATTTGATCCCGGCGATTTAAAGTAGAACCAGTTGCTCTTTGATATTGTCAACAGTAATGCGGCTGGTCTTATGTGCGTTAACTTTAATAGGGCATGACCTTCTTCTTGCTAAACTGAAGGCATATTAAATCGACGATTTTAACATACAATTGTTTAGAAAATCTTGTTTATCGAAAGCAGTATGTTAGCATAAACTGCACCAACTCGACTTTAGTCAGTTTTACACACTGGGTCCCTCGAGGAAGCATTGTACGCCCACTTTTGTTTCTTACTTTCATTAACCATCTACCCTTAGCTATTGTTGATATATTCGCTGATAATACCACCTTTTCGTTTAGTGCAACTTTTTCCTGGGAACACTGACACTTCAGTCTCCCTTCAACAGGACATTGACAGTCCTCACCAAATCATATTGAAAATTAGAATCATCGTAGAAATTTGGCTCGAAGATAGTAAATTGATCATCAACCTGGAAAAATTGCAAGACTGAAACTATGAAGAATCAACCTTCAAGAAAAGGAACTAAAAATCTCTATAAAAGGGAGTTTCCTCGTAAGTACCTAGACGTAAATCAAACTGAGCCTTATACATCATACATGTATTTTGATACGACTTACAAGAAAGCAGCAAGAAGAGATAACCTTTTAAGGTCAATTCGCTCGTTTGTCGATCAAAAATGCGCTAAAACAATCTATATCACTATGATTCTACAAACGTTCACATGCTGCGTCACTTGGTCTTGGTTGGTCAGACACCCAAAAAAGTCCATATAAAGAACATTGAACAAAGAAGTTTAACAATCACTGGAAACAAGGGCCTTAAAAGTTCCATCAATAGAGATCAAAGTTACGCACAAAAGCGGGTAACTGGTCTTTGAATGTCTTCAAAATAATGTTTTCTCCCCCCTTTAAGTCGTATTTTGAAAGATTCCATCATTCTGTTTAAAGAAAGAATGGTTTTCAAGTAAAATTGTCTAAAGTCGGCTTCGAATTTGGGGTAATGAGGTCCCAATTGGACTTCGATCCTTAACTTCCAGACTTTCATTTAAGGGCCCTCTGACCTATTTTTCGCGTTGCTAAGGGAAAGCATTTTTACTTGCGGTGCACGCACATAGAGTGATCTAGGGGGGTACTGAAAGGAATATTTTTGCTCCTAGGTAAATTATTTCAAGTTTTGAAAAAGTGGCTGCTGCATGCCATCGTCGCGTAAAATTCAGTAATTAATTTGGTGTCATCGAATTGAAAATACACCGTAAACGGACAAATTTGCAAAGGAAGGGTTTGAAAAAATACTAACTTACCCCTCTGAGAAAAAATGACACCTTCAAGCAACGAAACTTTGCTTTAAGGACTCTTTTTTTCGTGGATGTCGTGCTCGCTCGGGTAGGAATCAGAAGTGAGGGAGCAGGGGGTTTTTTAAGAGACTTTTAAGGTCAGTTTGTGTCAAAGTTCAATCGAAGAAATTACCTTTTTGAGTAAGAAATTTTGTCACTGTAAACATCTCAATTTAAGTTTTACTTTAATTGCTTTAGTGCATTGTTGAGAGAATAAATTAAGCCGGTAAAACGCTTCCCCGCCCTCCCAACAAAATTCGAGATTCAACTCTTTGTTTGAATTTTATTTTCATGTGCTCAGTAGATATTAATTGCGTGGACTGGCTGGTTCATGATGCGGTAAGATTATCACGAATTGTTCTCAGTAAGACCTAGGTTATGCAAATCAAAGTTAAAAAAAAAATGAATTCAATGTTCTTTTCTTTTGCTATTGTAAGCTTATGTATTTTTTCATTCAAAGTCGTTGCTTTGTATTTTGGAAAAAAATAATTTCAAGCAACTAGTCCACGCAATTAATATCGGCTGAGCCATGAAAATAAATTCAAACTACGTAAAAACGTTTCCCTAGTAAAATTCAGTGAAAAAAAAAAAGCTTGTCAATGAGTAAAAAAAGAGCGATCAAACTTCACCCTCTCTCTTTTTCCCACACGGTCCTCGCACGCTTGTAATGTCGCGCTTTGTAACAATCGTCGCACTTTGTAATACCTGTCGCACTTTGTAATAAAATTGTCACACTTTGTAATAACACTTGTCGCACTTTGTAATAAACTTGAAATAGATGGTCGGAGGACAAGTAAACCCAGTAATTAGTGTCATCATGGACAACAACAACAACGACAATAATAATGATAATAATAGTAATAATAATAATAATACTAATAATAAAGTAAAAACTTGCAAGAGGTGACAGGCCGCACATCTTCACCGGCGTGAAACCTTTGAAAACCTTTTACATAATGCTCCATTGAGGAGAACTCTTTCAGGGATCTTACAGTTTAAAATTTGAACCATGATGTAGCTTATATATAACGGACCAAGATACGGCTCGGTACAGTTTATGTTCAGCAAGGAAAAATTGTGTAAGTTGAGCAGAACCTTTAAAATGTACAACAGACAATTTGTTCAGTTCGCGCGTATTCATGTTGAATTTGTGACCCGTTTATGAGATTTGTCTACTCAAAAATATAATAATTTTTCCATAGTTGCTGTAATCTTAGCGTATCTGCTTTTAATATCTCCGTAAAGTTTAGGTTTACGCGATCTCAGAGAACAATGTTCAGCTGTACACAGCACGTAGCCTTAAAATATATCCAAATCTAACACTGGTTTTGTGTATTTATCAAAATGATGCCGTTTCATGTAGGTTCCAGCGTATTCGAAATTTCCACAACATTCATTAGTAGTGGTCATCGTGGCACAATGACGTGATATGCAATGTTTTAAAGAACATTTTAGTCCGAAAATAATAGTGACAATAATGATGATGATGACAATGATTGTGGTACCGGGTTGGGCTCTGAGTTTGTGATTTTCACTTGGTTTTATGAAATACAGTATGGCTTATTCATGGTAATAAATACAAATCAAGTAATATCTCTGTATATGTCTCAAGTAATACCTCGCAGGTAACGAAATCATAGGTTTTCTAGTTGCCTGTGCTGGTAGTAAAACTTTAAAAATATTTTATTATTATTATTGTCGTTGTTGTTGTTGTCGATGATGACACTTATTACTGGGTTTACTTGTCCTCCGACCATCTATTTCAAGTTTATTACAAAGTGCGACAAGTGTTATTACAAAGTGCGACACCTTTTTTTATTACAAAGTGCGATGGTCTGTTATTACAAAGTGCGACAGCTTTTTTATTACAAAGTGCGACAAGTGTTATTACAAAGTGCGACAGGTATTACAAAGTGTGACAATTTTATTACAAAGTGCGACAGGTATTACAAAGTGCGACAGTACAACGCTCCGCGTTCTGATTAACTGAAATGAGCGTGCGTCAGAGGGAGCAACTCCGTGTTTCCAAAAAATTCGCGGTTTTTGTTTCACGTTCTGTCTTTCGTCAAAAAAATAAAAATGTGTATTTATTTTAAAGAAGTCTATTCAATCAAACAAATTATCACTGTTTCAGCACTTTAGACCGGACAGCCCGCCTCAGCGGGTGACCCCACCTATCATGTCAACGTGTTCATACAGCAGCCCATAACCCGGAGCGAGCAACTCCCACACTAGGCCTATGTCACGGCGTTTTTACGGATCGGTTTATTTTCAGACACATTTTAGGGCCATTTTTTTACGCGAAAATGGAATATCCACCACGCTATGAGAGAGATAGATTTGCATATTTATGGCGGGCAGACGCTAATTTTTTAGCTCCTCGTATTTTGATTATTTCGCTCTTTTCCTTGCCTATTTCATCGATTTGTCAGTATTTTTGTTTTTCCTGTGCACTAAAATTATGCCAGAAACACGTAATTCTAAGACATCCGGCGGCTCACCAAGCGCTGACAAGAATCCCTCGAATGAATTTGTAACGACGGCGATGTTGAATGAGATGCTTCAGTTACAAGAAAGGATGTTTAAAACCCTTGTAGATTCGCTTTTGAGCAATTTCAATTCTCGACTAGATTCAGTGGTTGGAACTGTGGCTGAACTTAAGACTCGCCTAACATGATATGCCAGAAGGACACAAAAGAATTCAAACAAAGTCTTGAATTCTCTCAGAAAGATATCGACGAGCTAAAGCCGTGTAAAACCAAACTTGCTGAGATAGAGGATGACATCGAGGACATCTACGACTCTATCGACTACCATATGGACAAATTAGAATATTTGGAGAATCAGAGTAGACGAAACAACATCAGAATTTATGGGATCTTAGAAGAAGAAAACGAATCGTGGGACACTACAGAGGAAAAAGTCAAACAAGTTCTAGCTGAGAAGCTCAACCTTGAAGAAGCGCTCCACATCGAACGTGCTCATCGTGTCGGTAGGGTTGCTTCTGGCCCTAGAAGACGCCCTCGCACAATTGTGGGCAAACTTCGAGACTTCAGCAAAAGGAGAAAATATTGAAGGTGACAAGAAGAATTAAACCTGTCGGTTTATACGTAAATGAAGATCTTGCTAAGGAGACCCTTGATAAACGTGAAGAGCAGAGACCCAAGCTGGAGGAAGCAAAGCGGAATGGAAAAATAGCGTATTTTGTATTGGACAAATTGATTGTAAAGGACAGACGTGGTTAAAGCAGATAAGTGGTTAAATTAGATAAGTTTATTACAGTGACACAATACTCGCTATCAGATGTACTGCCCTTTAATCATTTAGACGATTCTAGCTTTTCTCTGGCGCTATATGAACTACAGAATGGTCCTGTTCACTTTGATCCCGATAGATTTGCTAGCTTACGTTACAATCCAATTTTTTCAAACTCAAACGCTTCTTTGACACAGTCTGGCAGTCTTGATCCTGACATTAATTTTAATGCAGTTGAGACACCCTGCGACTAATTTATTGAAAATCAATTTAACGAAATGCTCAGACGCGAAAATTATTCTGATGCCGATTTCTCTTTCAATATTCGTAGTCTTCCTCATAATTTAGTAAAGCTGACTGACTATCTATCATGCTTAAACATAAAATTTTCTGTAATCGGAATTTCTGAGACCTGGCTAAACGATTCTGCTCATTCGGTCGATATTAATGGTTTCAAATTTCTTCACAAGTATAGGCAAAATAGAACTGGAGGTGGGGTAGGGCTTTATATTTCAAACGATCTAGAGTTTAAGCTTCGAGAAGATTTGTCCCTCCATAATGTTGATACTGTAGAATCACTGTAAATTTACCTTACAAAGTCAAATTCATTCGTATAATACAAGAAACTCGTGTAAATTTCGTCTGCCTTTCTGTCGTACTCGAACCAAACAATTTTCCGTTTTTTATCAAGGACCTAAATTTTACAACACCTTAAACACCAACATCATCAAGGCTTCCTCACCTTTCTCCTTTAAAAGAGCACTTAAGGCATTTATTTGTAATAATTATTAGTATACTCCAACAAAAATCTTGGGAAAAAGCCTTTTAATATTCAACATTTGTAAACTTCCGTAATATTGATTAGTTTAATTTTTCACCTCATATTATATTGTATCCGTCGCCGTAATTTTTACGCCATCTTCGAAAAATTGTAATTGAGGAGGCCTAATTAACATAAGTTCTATAGTTTCTTTTAGGCCTCCTCGCCATCTCTTCCTTCATTTTTTTTTTTTTGGCATCTTTTTGTAATTATTGTAATCGTGTGGCAAATAAATAAAATACCTAAATACCTAAATACCTATGAACGCATTCGAAGTATAAAGATAATAACAAAAACGAAAACGTAGCGTCATTAACTGAAAAGGCAAAAGTTATAACCTTTTTTAGGTCTGTAGGTTTTGCTGACTGGTTTGTGGGTCTTAAAGGATATTCTAAATTCGCGCCCTTTCTGAAAAGAAACTGGTCTGTGAAAACGCCGTGGAAGTTGCTTGTTCCAGGAAATGAGGGTCTCAATGGGGTGGTGGCTTTTACGGTTATCGGCTAGTAAAATTCTGGCTCTTTTACGGCTACCGGTTAATTTTTTTCAGTTCCCTGACGGTTAACAAAAAAGTTAACAATTAATTTCTTTTGTTTCAAAGAGTTAAATATTAATAAACCCGTATTTTTTTAAAATAAATGTCTTAGGATCATCTCGGGATGAAATGTTATTCTTCTGAAAATTTTTAATATTTCATAAATCATGCTTTTAAGGAATTTCACTTCTAATATCATTTTACTCATAGAAATGTTAACTATCGCATGAAAAAGTTTGTCCTCTTTTGCATCTTAGCGTGATTTCCTTTTCTTCAGGGACTACTGATTCGTTCTTCCCGTCGCTTTGTATTTTGCTACCCTCTTCTCTTTTTACTACCACGATAGGGTCTTTACCCCACTAAAGAACAGATTGTACAACATGAACTAAAAAAGAACAACCATACAGATTGAGACTCGAACATTTCTGTGACCCTCACATTTACAAGTGTTGGAACCAAGGTTAGAAGTACGCGGCTTTGAAGATCTTTGCCGCAGGAGAGTTTTCTCATTCTCTTAAAATAACATGAACTCTTTGTTTAAAATAGAAACAAAAGGTTAAGCTATTGCCAGTCAACTAAAAATTTTTTATGAGCCACGAAAAGGACCATTCCTAATAAAAGACATAACAGTAGAATGAATAGAAGGTTCAATGCAAAACTAGCAGAAGTTAAGCGTGAACTTAAAGAGTCAAAGTAGCCGTGAAATAAGAAACGCCGGCGTTCTAAGTGAGTTTAGCACCTTCCTCAAAATTATCAAATCTAAGGAGCAAAATGCTTTTTACGGTTAACTCTTTTTATTTTATTTTATTTTATTTGCCACACTAATTACAAAAAATATAGGAAAAGAAGAAGAAAAAAAAAAAAAAAGAAGTGGCGAGGAGACCTAACAGAAACTATAGGAGCTTATGAGAGGTTAGGCCTCCTCGAACTATGAGCTAGAGCTGTTTCACATCAATTGAAGAGAAGAAAGCGAAAAGTCGAAGATGGAAAGATTTATAAACTGTTTTCATACTTACTCAATAATTTAATCTTCAGTTTTTTCTTAAAAGAGGAGAGGGATTGAGAGTTGATGATCTTGTTGTCAAGTGAATTAAAAAACTTAGGCCCTTGAAAAAAGGGCGAGAACTTCTTCGTGTTTGTACGACAATACGGTAGACGGTAGGCCTGGGAATTTCTTGTATTGTAAGAGTGGAATTGATTGCTTTGAGAGAAATTGTTATTAAACTTTGGAGGTAAGAATGAATTTTTGCAAGAATACATAAATTGACCCAGTTGAAGCAAATGGATATCATTAAATTTTAGTATACCGAGGTCCTTAAAGATGGGGTCAGTATGAGCATTAAAATGTGATTTATTAATAATTCTAATAATGCGCTTTTGCAGGATAACAAGGCGGTGGAGATTAGTTTTATAGGTTGAAGCCCAAACGATATTGCAGTAGTAAAAATAAGGATAAATTAAGGAATAGTAGAGCATACGTAAAGACGATTTAGGAATTTGTCTCCTTTACTTTAACAATATTTTGATTATCTATACTTATTTGAATATTACAAATTGAACGCTTTTGTCTTGGTTTAAAGACCATAAATTTAGTCCTTTTAAGATTTAGAGAAAGCTTGTTTGCTTTAAACCAGATTGACAGTTTGTCCATCTCCGAGTTTAACATATCTGAAAGATAGTTCAGATCTTTATGTGACATGAATACATTGGTATCGTCAGCGAACAATATCAGATTTAATAGATTAGAAGCATTGTTGATGTCGTTAATGTACAGTAAGAAAAATAGAGGTCCGAGGATAGAACCCTGAGGGACCCCACAAGAGATTTCATTTCTTAACGAACGGTGGCCATTATATTCAACATATTGCTTTCTGTTTGAAAAGTAACTTCTTATCCAGTCCAGCGCTAAGCCACGAATACCGTAATGTTCGAGTTTATCAAAAAGGATGATATGATTTACAGTGTCAAAGGCTTTTGAGAGGTCAAGAAAAATCCCTACGGAAAATTCACCTCGGTCAAAGGTAGTGGAGATCTTATCATGCAAGTCGATTAGCGCGAGTGCAGTGGAATGATTTTTCCTGAAGCCGTATTGGTTACTACAGAGGATGTTGAAGTTCATCAGATATTGCATTAAACGATTGTAGATAACTCTTTCAAAGAATTTTGAAAAGCTGGGAAGCACCGAGATAGGTCGGTAGTTGGTGAAAAGCGACTGATCATTAGATTTAAAAATAGGTATCACGCGAGCGATTTTCATTTCATTTTTACCATATTTACGGCTAACGGTTAAAGTTTTTACGGCTTTGGTTAACTCCATTGAAACCCTCGGAAATGGACCGGGCTTCTGGTTCAAATTAAAATGAGAGATTGCATGGACAGGGGGGTTATCCCACCTAAGCGGGTTACCTCACCCACCAAAGTCCTCCACCTCCCTGTAAACAGGCCCTATTATTGCCAACATTTTGGAATAAGGTGTATTAATTAATCATAAGAAATTTAGATTGTCCGTAATCTTTTTTACCCGAATAATCTGCAAAGGATGACCCATGGTTCACAAACCAAATAAAAAGTAGCGGTAAGTGATGTAATTATATAAAACATCGCTATGCAAAAACGAATTCGGCATCTACAAACTTAGTTAAGCAATTAATTGGGCCTGAGAATAGGCCGAATTTCCACCGCTATATTCTCGGTCCGATCTTCCTCCTCCCCGGGGAAAGACTGAATCGAAGCTTGAGTGGCTGATAATTTCTTTAACGTAAGTTCCAAATTTAATTTATGCTTCTTAAGGAAACGCCGAAATTGGAAAATGTTATCAGACACCAAAAGCATGTTGTTGTTTTCGCCTCTTCGTTCCCTTGGTCTTATCAGCAACGCCTACTGTTATACGTTATTTCCATCGATCTTACATTAGCGGCTAAGGGTTGAAATTCATAGGCATCTCTTTGACGATGGATTTAGACAATGAATGGTGCAAACTGGAAAATAATTTACTATCTCTGGTTGGAAAAATTACCAACTCATCCCTATCATTTACTTGCATCACTTACTCTTTTCACCTAGCTCAATGAATGTGATTTTTAGGCCTGTTTGCGAGATTACTTTTTCTTAAATCACCCTTCCCCTCCTTCCATTGGTAAGTGGAGGTCTCCTAATGTTTGGTAGATAAATTTGTGGATTTCTTTGTAATGGCTTAAAGTTCCTGGTTTAAAGTTTATTTGCTGTTTTTAATTGTAAGTTTTGTATGGAATGTTCGCTTTTAGGACTTTAGCTGGAACTATAAAACTGTAAAATTCGACTAGTTAAAATGACTGTTTTAAATGGTTGTAACTAATAACAATAGTCATTGTAACCGTTCTTAACAGTCGAAATTGTCAACAAAAGAAAATTGTTAAAATAACCTGGATTAATATGTGGTTTTAACCATTGAGGTTAGTTGTGATAACTTTAACTATTCTGATTAGTGTAAGCGACCAAAATATTTCGTCGTGCACATGTGCTTTAGGGACAAGAAAAGTTATGGGGTGGGGGGGGGAATTTTCGAGCCGCAGGAATTTTTTTCGTTTTCAAATTTCTCGTATGAATTTTTTTTAGGCCATAGTATGAATATTTTTTAGGGTTAATTGGCGTGCAAGAATTTTTTTTCATTTAATTTTCCCTTGCGCGAACTCTTTTTTTTGTATTTCGCCAGCCCCCCCCCCACCCCTCATAAGTTTTCTGATGGTCCGTCCCTTAGTTTTTTCCGCTCGTTTCTTCTTTTTTTTTTCTCTGTTTCCTGTTTGTGGTCTCATGTTTGTCAATTGAAGTGGAAAGTTGGATAAGTTGCCTAACTTAGTTCAACCGACAACAAGATTCTGCGACAAGAGAAAAATAATGTAAAAATCAGGGTGAAAATGCGATCATCTAGCGCTTTATAAAACTGTCTGTTACACTAGTAGCTCATTCAGTGATGACGTAAGATAAACAAACTTTGTTATTTCAACTATTTAATTGATAGATTACACGCTGCAAACCGAAATTTCTATGACAGATATTAGTAGTTGATATAACTATTGAAATAAGTTAATTCAACTAGTATTGTGGGTGGTATAATGACATTTTTAAAAATCAGTCAAAATCAGTCTATTAAAAAAGAACAAGACTATGCTTTACAATCCTTTACACTATTACTATTACTTAAATGTTGACTTATACAAACTGCGGAATTGCTTACATGAGCAACAGTAAATATTGTGACAGCTAACAACAACTATCCTCCTTTGATGCAACCGACTGTACAACAGAGCATGACTTTAATTAGTTGACAGTTAAAATGTGGTTCCTATCTTTTCTGAAAAATGTAACACCATCTCTTGTTGTTGTTCTATTTTTTTTTTCGCCTTTTAATATTTCGTCTCTCCTTTCGTATTATCGTTTTCGGCTCACAGTTCAAGTAAAGGAAATTTACAACAACTTGAATTTCGTGAGTCAAAGGAAACGCAGTAGATCAACAGATCACATACCGTAGCTACATTATTCTAAAATCTTAGTCACCGGAAGCTAAAGTGACAGGGCGCGAACTTTCGTCCAATCAGGATCGATGATGTTTTGTTTGAACATTGACTCCTGAATAACCTTTGTTTGCCTCTGTGTATTCCGACTGTCCTACACGAAGGTTGTGCTGAAATGAAGCTCCGTGAATTTGAAGATTTTAAGTCAACATCTCCATGGATCTCAAGTTAACAATGATGTATCAAGGCCGAATGTTATAGCAGGGGATGATAGAGGCTCTAAGTGACTGCTAAGGATAGAGTTAATGAAACCATTCAACGATTACACCGACGCATTTCGAGGTGAGTACAAATTCCATAATTTGTGAGATTGAGGTAAAAACTTTAGTCTGGCCCTGGGTTTCTTCTTCAGGCTTTTGAAGAATTATTTCACCGTACTGTAACACCTGAAACAGTTTTCTTACCATCTGAAATCGCAAAACAGAGCCAGTGCTGCGAACAGTGTCTCTTTTGGTCGAAAATCTGTGAAAGAGCGGTATAGCCCATTGTTGGTGTTCATTACTTTATCTTTGAGATTTCGAATTGAAGTTAAACGTCTCCATTGCGCTTAAAAGTTTTGGTTACCCTCCCAGAACAATTAACCCGAGAGGAGACCGATGTAAAGGGGAATAAGGATCATGAAAGTAGAGGAATACGTCCAACTGAATTTTTTGTGAATTACCGATTACCGTTGGTGGTTCGTTAGTTTTAGCGCCAAAACGTCAGCAGCGAAGACTGCATTTTTATTGCCACGTGTTATGCCTTAGAGGATTTGAAAAACAGTTACTATTGACCAGAGAATCATGTTTAAAGGAGAAGTCAGATGATGTATGTACATGTATTTTTATTTTAAACTACTTGGAGGACTGAATTGTTGATAAATGGACCAAATTTTTCTAGTGTCAGTTTATTTTCCTTCGTCTTGTGTACATGACTTTCTGTGAATGTCACGGTTAAATAGAATGGTGAAGTGTGCTAAGGGTTGAAGAAAAGCTTAACTCCTATGCTCAGTTAAAAGCCGTTGTTTTGTCAAGGCAAGATTTAATTGCTTGCCTACTGGCAATTTCCTTGCTGAGGTTGTCACTTGTGGCAGCCTTGCTTGGGCTATAATCTGCAGCTTGCAGGTTCTTGCTTTCTCTCTTGACCCGGCTCACATATTTGTAAATACTTTCCCATCAGTGATACCAAATTCAAAATTAATTACTATTTTAAACAATGTCTTGCCTAAACATTTGAGCTGAAACTCTACGTGGACCAACGTACAGTCAATGAGTTCAGTACTCCAAGAGTGAAATGACAACGAGATAAAAAAGGAGACAACGAAAGAATTGCATAAATCGAAAAAACTGTCGAATTATAGACTTCTTTATTCTGCTGGCAGTAATTTTAAGGATTGCGAAGTAGATATTCCTAAAAGCATGTTAATTAAAGGTATCTGCACCAACAATTTTTTTAAGGTTTTCTTTCGTGTTCAAAATGTTTTTACAGTGAGTTCAGAGATAATAAGCATATTATCTTTTTCGAATTTACCTTCCTATTAATTAAGCGAAAATGTACTTGAAAGGTTACCGATTTAATAACCGGAAGTCTGAAGGAAAAATTTTCATATCCGTTTCTAAGAACACTAACATTTCCACACTTTCAAAGTTAGCAACTAAAAGTACTCGATTCTACCGTGACAAGACATTGTAGTGCGTTCATGTCAATGCATAAGTTTGTCGCTGTTAAGACTACCCGGTTGCATACATTTGTCATAAATTAACGATAATGTTTCTCTTTTGCCCATTCCATTCTGATGACGCGTTCTGTGCGTTATCTCTTATACCTTGTATACCACTATATATCTTATGTTTACCCTAGTGATACTGTATACCCCTATTTATCCTGTGTACCCATGTTTACCCAAGAAATACTGTATACCTTGTACACCCTGGTATATCCTGTGTACCCATGTTTACCCTAGTAATACTGTATACCTTGTGTACCCCTATATACCCTGTTTACCCATGTTTACCCTAGTAGCACTGTATACCCTGTATACCCCTATATATCTTCTGTACCCATTTCTACCATAGTAATACTGTATACCTTGACTAGGGTAAACATGGGTACACAGGATATATAGGGGTATACAGGGTATACAGTATGACTAGCGTAAACATGGGTACACACAGGAACCAATTACTGGTACACAGGATATATAGGGGAATACAAGGTATAGAGTATTACTAGGGTAAACATGGGTACACAGGATATATAGGGGTATACATACATACATACATACATACACTTTATTGATGCTCCCTAAGTGGGCTTTTCAGCTCAATAGAATAAAAAAAAAATACAAATATATAAATTAATTGAGAATGTAAATACAATAATATTATAATTACAAAATATATATCAATAATATAATATAATATATCAACTTAATAAAACATTTGCAAGATGACGTCTAAAATTCCTGGGGCATTTTAAGGACTTAATGTTATCATTCAAGGAGTTCCAGAGTTTGGCTCCTCTGAAAGCAAAGGAGCGCTGCCCTGTTGACAGGCGACATAAAGGTATATCCAAAGCACCAGATGATCGAGTTTGTCTATTATGGACATGAGAACGTGATTTAAACATATCAGCAAGATAGTCTGGAACAAGCTTGTTAATACATTTGTGCATCATAGTAGCGTCATTTAGAATGAGTTTCTCTCTAATAGGAAGCCATTTCAACGATCGCAACCCATCCGAAATATGGTCATACTTTCTTAGTCCCAGAATAATTCGCCCAGCAAAGTTTTGGACTTTTTGTAACTTGTCAATATTGCTGCTGCTGGTATTACTCCAGACAGTTGAACAATATTGGAGTTTACTAAAGACAAATGAATTTATTACTAACAGAAGTGTTTTCCTATCCAGGAGGTGCTTGATTCTGTTAATTTGGTACAATTTAAAAAGGCATTTAGAGGCAATCTCAGTGATACGTTGGTTATAACTGAGGCGTGTGTCGAGAAGAACACCCAAGTCCTTAACGACAGGCACAGGTGTTATTTCCTTGTCAAAAAGTGTTATACTGAATGATGACAGTTTCTTTAAAAGTTGTGGTAATCCAACAGCTAGAACCTTAGTTTTGTCCGGATTAATCAAAAGAGAGTTTTTACAGCACCACTGAGATATTCTCGTAAGATCTTCGTTTAAGGCGAGGATGGACGTGGGTAATTCGGCAGGTGAAAAGGACAAATACAATTTACAATCATCAACATAGGAGGCAGATAGACAACGTTTAGGAACAGAAAGGAGGTCGTTAACATAGATTGTAAACAAAACCGGACCTAAAATAGAGCCTTGCGGAACTCCGAACTCAAGTGGGAGTACTTTAGAAACTGCGTCACCAATTCGAACGCACAAGGTATACAGTGTTACTAGGGTAAACATGGGTACACAGGATATATAGGGGTATACAAGGTATACAGTGTTACTAGGGTAAGCATAGGTACACAAGATATATAGTGGTATGCAAGGTATACAGTATGACTAGGGTAAACATGGGTACACAGGATATACAGGGTATACAGTATTACTGGGGTAAACATGAAAACACAATATATTTAACAATTATTCCACGAGGGCACGTTGGATATGAGATGATAGATAGCCAACGAGGCGCATAGCGCCGAGTTGGCTATAATCATTTCATATCCAACAAGCCCGAGTGGAATAATTGTTTTATTAAAAACGCCCACAAAATCTCGTTGAATCGCCCCGACTAGAACAAACCGGAAAAGACAAGGGACTTCCGCTATTCTCATGTCACACGTCTATCAAAACTGTCAACGCGCGAACGGACTCGCCTAGACTGCATGAATGAAAAATCAAAACATTGTAGCGATGAACATTAGTTTTTTAAAAACTCATCGTGATTCTAGGATTTTACACAGCAGAACAGCTTAAAAAACCTGGCAGATAATGTGAAGGAAAGGAATTTTTAAGTGAAAGCCGTCGAAATTACTATGAATTTGGATTTTCGGTGCAGTTATAAAAGTAAGAACAACGGAGAAAAACTACCAGTATTACCTCGGTCGCTTGTTATGAAGTTGTTTGAAGCCACAAGCTGGTTTTGCTGAACGAGAAAAGAAGCTATACTGCCGCCTCGATTGCTCTAGTGAATGACTGCATAGCCTGTATTTGTAGTTCGTTACTTGTGATTTATGTTCTTGATGTCGGATAAATAAGCTGCAGTTATCTATCGGCGAGTGACTCGATCGGCGAATGGCTTCGCGATCATGAAGAAACAACACTTGTCTTCTTTCGTAGCTGGTCAAGGTACTTTAGTTCCATGTGTTTTTCGACAAACTTTCAAACAAGCTCTTGTGGCTTTTTTGTTTGTTTTTGTCTTTTTTCTTTCGTTGAAATTGCATTTCTAGTATTCTAAGAAATGAATTAAAACGATTTGCTTCGGGCGCCGTTTTATCCTTCGTGAAAAAAGATCTCAGCTAGCTTCCAATTTTAAACTGACGAGTACACCGACTATATATGGAGAACATGGTATATTAGCTCATATACCATAACGGCTAAGCCAATCAAAATGCTAGAATTGCATTATCCAATGATTCAGTTTTTAATAAATAGGGTTATTCAAGGTACACAGTATGACTATTAGTCAGGTCTCTTAGGGTCAGGATCGTTACAGAGTTGACAAAAGCACCAAACTTTGCACAGCGATAGCTTATTGCAGTACCATGAATATTAGAGGGGGTGCCCACTGCAAATATGCCACTGAAGCGTGCTAAACAGGATATAATTATTGTAAATTTCACCTGCTGGGGTCCCTGTGGTGTTTTGATTGAAAATTGTTATTTAATACCTTAAATCACTCTGAATTCTATTCTCAGGTTGTAAACAACAATTTCACTCGAACATCTGGCATTCCCATCCATTTTTGCTTATTGATTGTATAATTACCGTATTTATTCGAATAAGCGCCCAACCTCGAATTAGCGCCCACCTCGAATAAGCGCCCATCCTAAAGGCAGAAAAAGTTAATAAGCGCCCAGCCTCGAATAACCGCCCACCCCTCCCCCTCCCAATCAAACTCAAGTAAGCGTTCACCCCCACCCCACCCACTTGAGTGAATAAATTCTAATAAGAGACTTCCCCGAGGACGGAGTTTTCTTCAGAGTATTTTACAGAAACCTTGCTTTGTTATTTCTTCGCGTTTTGTTATTAGCATTTATTGTTTTGTTGCAAAAGAAACATACTTCACTTGCTGAAAATGGTGAAAATTTAATAAGCGCCCAGCCTCGAATAAGCGCCCACCTCGAATAAGCGCCCACTCTCAAGGTCCAAAAATTTAATAAGCGCCCAGGGCGGTTAATCGAATAAATACGGTAAGTTGATTATTACTGTGCCCTTAAAGCAAGTCCACAGTCCGCCCACATTTTCATAAGTCATTTCTAAGATGGCCTCGTCTTTGCTTCATAACTTGCAACTACTCAGCTTCTGGGATCTCTTCTCCTTTTCTAATGTATTTCAATTAGAGGAGGCCTTATTGTGTGGCTTAAGCCTTATTTATCAAGTATTATTTGTCATTACTTGTCACTTTAAGCTGAAGAAAGCAAACAAAATTTCAGAAAAAAGAAATTGTCAAAGAGTCTGTTGTATCACATATTATCAGGGATTTATGACAGCTATTCATGAAGAGCAAATAACGAAATGACAGAACCCAAAATAGTTCTTTCCTAGGGAGGTAATTAATTTTTCAGCTTAACATAGGCCTGGATACCTTTCAGTCTCTCTTTATCCAGTTATCTGCTGGACGCAAGTGCATGTTTTGATAGAGAAGCAAGCACCGTGGCAGAAGTCATATCATTTACAATTTCCGCAGTTTGTCTAAGCTTTACAAAGCAAAAACAAACAAAAAAGAATCTGGTCTCATAAACGAAAAGAAAGAAACAAGTTAGCCCAAGCTTCAAAAAACAGCACAGTTTATCATGAAGCCTCTACATTTGGCACTGAAGCACTCATGTCCAAAAATAATAACAGCTTATCAAGTCGTAAAAGTGAGACTCAGGTGGTACAAGATTGACTCAAATGATAAATGGTGAATAGTTTAACTGCTGAAACTGTAGAAAGGGGGCCGGGCTAACTTTTAGGGCCTGTTTACATGGAGGAAGGGGACCCCAGGTAGGAATGGTAACCCACCTGTCCATATAATCTCTCATTTTAATTTGATCACGTTTACATGATAGGTGGGGTCACCCTTCAAGGTGGGTAGCCCGGTCTGCCACACCAGGTAACCCTCTCAGCTGAGGTCAAATTTTGCCATGTCAACGTTTCAAGGTGAGGAAACCCAGGCTAGTCGGGGTCGGATTCGAGATACATCAAATTCGCGCAAAATTCACTTTGGCGCTGGGTGGCTTCCCATAATTCATTATTAAAGGTAACAATAGAAAGCCACAACACTGAAGGTTGCAGCAAGAGCAGCAATTGAGCGTAGACGTGGTTTGCCAGCATTTTTCTTGTTTACATGGTTAGCGACCATTCATATAATCTTGAGAAACTGCACCCCATTATGGCGGGGTTGTAAGATTGCATGTAAAGGAGGGTTATTTTTTTACCCCACCTAAGCAGGTTACCTCACCTACCTGGGGTCTCCCACCTTTATGTTAACAGGCCCTAAGTCTCAGGAACCGTGAAACTGGTAATAAACGGTATACCTAACCCGGGACTAGCTGTGATACTACCGGCCATCTTCAAGAACGTCAGCATAGCAGCCAAAGAAGCCATTATATCGGTGTAAAACGAATATTAGATTGCGGTTGTTTCATGCGTCTAATTTTGTGACTTTTTCTGTGTTCGTTTTTGTCACCATCTCTAAATATCAATCATGTTCAAAACACCCCTATTAACAAAATATTTCGTAAAGCTCTTTAGAATGATATTCAGCAAAAAACAAGGTGTGACCAGGAGCCGATTGCTAGGCTCCTGGTGTGGCAACATAGGCATAAGTGAATGCAAAGTTTTGCAGTATGTAATCTGTCAAAAATCTGTTTGAGTGGTCAAAGTTGGGGCTGATGGGCTTCTTTATCATGACCACTCCATTATTATAAGGGACCAGGCCATAATTATTGTTGACCCTTGCTTTTTTGGTATTTTATGTGATTTTCCACAGCATTATTTTGTGAAAAGTTGGTAACTGAATTGCTCTTGAGGAATTCATGATCGTAAGATTTCGTAACCACGGCGTATTCGCCTAATTGCATCAAACAAATTACATTCATTTTCATAAAAGATGCATCATTGGTTGGCTAAAAGAGGCCTTGTTCCTGTAAATTTCAGCTCTTCTGAAGTTAGTTTGTTTGTAAATTGTAACGCAAGTGCCGACTGTCCTTTTTTTTGAAAGATCGTATAGACCTACCATTAAAACTCTGGTCTAAGGGCTCTGAAGTGAATGAGCCGCTTACAGGTGTATAGGCATGCAGGGACCTCATACACTTCTTTTCAAATGCAAATGTGCAAAAAATAAAGAATGTTAAAATTCCTGGAGAGGCATGTTTTACAACCTCGTCCCCAGGGCTTAATAAAAAGGTAGAAAAAGGTAAAGCGACCATATTTTACGTCAATAACTCGTGACAGTGATAAGTGATAAACTTGAGGTCGACGGTGCGTTCCTTTTACCCCCCTCTCTCCATTAATTCTCCGTTTTAAGGGTATTTAAAGCTAGTCAAAGCTACACAGAAAAAAGAGAAGTTGAAATAAGGAGGTGTTGACACCGGGCTCGAACTCGGGACCTCTCGCCCCGAAGGCTGCGCACTAACCAACTGTGCCACCCTTACTCCTCCTTTTCCCCCTGAGGACGAGGTTGACATGTTTTAATCATTATCTCAAGGACAGGGTTACCAACGAAGCAAATTATAATCTAATCTTAGCTGCACAATTACAAAGTGGGCGCGTTGTCAGTTACGGTTCATGAGGTTGTTCATGTGGCATGTCAAACTTTAACGATTCTATCGTTTAGGATGTGATACATTTGCGTTTTATGTTATTGTATGACATCTTTGAAAGCTGGCTTTGTGATCTGTTTAAGTTGATATGTAATGATATGATCACTGGCAAGTCTTAGCAGTGACACTGATAGCCGCACAGTCCGCCCAATGAACATGGTCACACTTACCGTGAGGAGACCGGGCACTAGTCAGTATTATGTACATGTAAAACTATTTTGAATAGTGTAACAACAACTAAACATTACCAAATTAAAAACTTAAAAATTTGCAACAAATGTTTTTTAGCCAAATCAAACAAGAAGAGTACTCACCACAGGGCACCCAATCTGCTATTATAGGTGAAAGTTAACCCCCCCTTTCATCTGTAATTAGGACCATTTGTAACGGGCACCCCCTCCAGTATTAATCGGTAGGTACTAAGGAAGCTCTGTGCCAAATTTGACACTTTTGTCACGTCTGTAACGATGCGGCCTATATTTTCCACTAAGAGACCTGACTATATAGGGTATACAGGGTATACAGTATTACTAGGGTAAACATGGGTACACAGGATATATAGGGGTATACAGTATTACTAGGGTAAACATGATATGCCAGGGTATACAAGGAATACAAAGTTACTAGGGTAAACATGGGTACACAGGATAAATAGGGGTTTACAGGGTATAGAGTATTACTAGTGTAAACATGGGTAAACAGGATATATAGGGGCATACATGGTATACAGTATTACTAGGGTAAGCACGGGTACACAGGATATATAGGGGTATACAGGGTATACAGCATTACTAGGGTAAACATGGGTACACAGGGTATATAGGGGTATACAAAGTATACAGTATTACTAGGGTAAACATGGGTACACAAGATATATAGGGGTATACAGGGTATACAGTATCACTAGGGTATTCATGGCTACACAGGATATATAGGGGTATACAAGGGTATACTTGCTATGCTGGTATTATAACCTATTGCACTAATATATTAGGGAGTTTATATGGAGACTACCATGAATTACTTGCCCTATAGAGAGGTTATTTGGCATTTTTTTGCGCTTCCAAGGGCATTTTACACAACAGGCTTTTCACACCTCAATAAAGCACGTTAATTACTACTTGGCCAATTTACTTAATAATTACAACTGAATTAGTTATAGGAACCGCTTTTAGAGGGATTGAATGTTATTAGTTTTTTTTTCCATTCTTTTGCGGCAGAAACAAAGGAAAAACAAAATATATATAATAATATATATACAGTATGTCTGAAAGAGCAATGTTTTTTTAGTAGTATTATCATTAGATATAGAAATGTTGGACTGAAATATGGTTAAAACCAAAACCTTATCATGGAAAAAAAAATGAAAAGCTTGTAGTTTGAGTTTAAAGGAAATGTTCAGGATTTGTAACTTGGCAGTAAAACATATATTTTTTCTTTGTTGCAGAATGATTCAGATGCAGAAGATTACAAACGGACATGCGCAATGGGAATATTGACCCTTAGAAAATTTCAAGGGTTTTTATATTTCAAAGAAATGACTGCAGAACCGCAACAAAATCGAAAAACAGCTAGCCTCAAATGATTTGTATCAGCCGGTATTCATGCCGATGAAGAGTCAATATTACATACCTGGAAGTACGACGCAGTCCTTTATTTTCCATTCTAGGACGCCATTTTACTGAATAGAATGTTTACAACCGACTGCATAAATGTACGTTCAATAAAGATGAAACCGAATTGTTTTGTTAATTTGGTCCATTTCAATGTGTTATTTTAACTCTTTTACAGTATTTAAATCTACTGACTTTTCAAGGTTAAAATAACAATTTTTTGTAACCTATTCTTTTTTAGTTATATTAACGAAAAGTAACTATAAAAAATGGGTTCTCTCAGATGCATCCCGGGTAGTTTTTTAAATAGTTGAATTGACTAATTTGAAATGGTCTCATAACTAAATAAAGTGAGTTAATTTAACCAAAAATATTGGTCATTCTTACTTAAAAGAAACTAGTTAAAACTACCATTTATTAATGGTTAAAACAACATAAATATTGAACTAAAAACAACCAAACAAAAAGGTCAAAATAACCCTGTTGATATTCATTTTAACTGCTTTAAAACTAGTTATTTCAAATCAAAAGAATCCAGTTATTTCAAACCAATCTAAATTGGTCAATCTGACTAAAACAAAAGGATCCTCTCAGATGCATTTTGCAACAATTTTCATTGGTTATTTTAACTAGTCAAATTTTACAGTGATTAGTAGTTCTTATGTTAACTGATACCAGCGCCTTGAAAAGTTGATTAAAATAAATAAAGAGTAGTATAGTGCTTTAAAGAGATATGTCTAGCCAGTGCTTGTTAATTCACTTATGTCCAGAAATGCATGCAATGGCGAAAATGGCGAAACTGGCGAAAAATCGCCAGCCGCTGGCGATTTGAATTGGATGCCAAAAGTGGCCCCTTGGAGGCTGGCGATTTTGGCAAAAATGGCGATTTTGGCGAAATTGGCGATTTTGGCAAAAATTGCCATGCATGCAATGGCGAAAATGGCGAAAAATCACCAGCCTCTGGCAATTTGAATTGGATGCCAAAAGTGGCCCCTTGGAGGCTGGCGATTTTGGCGAAAATGGCGATTTTGGCGAAATTGGCAATTTTGGCAAAAATCGCCATGCATGCAATGGTGAAAATGGTGAAACTGGCGAAAAATCACCAGCCTCTGGCGATTTGAATTGGATGCCAAAAGTGGCCCCTTGGAGGCTGGCGATTTTGGCGAAAATGGCGATTTTGGCGAAATTGGCAATTTTGGCAAAAATCGCCATGCATGCAATGGCGAAAATGGTGAAACTGGCGAAAAATCACCAGCCTCTGGCGATTTGAATTGGATGCCAAAAGTGGCCCCTTGGAGGCTGGCGATATGTGGCAAAATATTCAAATTGGATGCCAAAAGTGGCCCCTTCAAAGTAGATAACTAAAGAGGTCCTTATAACTGTGAGGCAACAGTACCAAAAAAAAAAAGTTCAAATTACTTGCCTAATAAGAGGCCCCAATAACTGTGAGGCAACATTTATCAAATACAACTGAATCAAATATATGACAAAACAGCTTTACCTAACTGTCAAACAACATTATTTTATCAAATACAACTGAATCAAATATATCTGAAAACAACAAATGCAAGTCGTTTCAGTTAAGCTAACATGTATTTGTGCCATGTACTCCACAGGTTAAGTAAACATTTCCTTACTTTCGATGTCGCTTGACTTACCAAAAGTGATGTGATGCGCTGAAATATCACACTAGCATCATTTGCTTTTGTATTGTTTCATTCCTTTCAAAGACTTACAAGTCCACTAATTACTCGAGGAGAGAACTACCAAGTCCTTGAAATCATAATAATTCCTTGCCATGGACACTCTAATTAATCGAGGAGAGAACTACCAAGTCCTTGAAATCATAATAATTCCTTGCCATGGACACTCTAACTTTTGAGGTTCGATGTAGACCTTAACAATCCTCACTGGTTACAATTCTCTTCACATTGGTTCCATTAAATTGTGAGACAGCCTTAAATCAAAAGCGATTGCGAAACGCATGGTTCCTGGCTAAAAGATGCTTTCACGATAACCAGCTAGTGTGTGCCCTTCATTCTTTTTTGGTTCTCCACTATACACATTATCTTCTTCCGTCGTTTTAAACTCTTCCCTTTCTTCTCGCACTTACTTGCTTTGCTCTTTAGAGAAACGGTCCCCTAAAAGTAACGAAAGCCGAAATGTCCAGCAGTTTGCGTGCGCCATTTTGAAATGTGTGATTTCGCTTATTTCCACTTTATGTAAACCTGCACGAAATGTCACTTGTGCCCAATACTTCACCGCATTTATTGAACATAAACATTGGATCAAAGCAATAACTTGTTTGTCTCTTTCATAAAACATATCCCATTCAAACTAATTCTGTATCTTTTCATCAACTAGATATATAAAAAGAGAGTGTACATGTTTGTCTCGTTCTTCAAAAATGTGTCCCATTATTGCTTTATGAGGTGGGGCCAGAAATTTAGAAAATGTATTGTTTTTTTGCGCTGAGACCACCAAACCAATTCTCAGTACAATATGTTTCCATTAAATTGCTAATGCTAATGCTCGTCGAAACACGTCACCCGGCCTTTTTACCTTCTATTTAACAATTGCCTGAGAGTCCCTGTGAACGACATTAATCGTTTTGCTTACATAGAGGAGCTATAAACATAGAGTGACCACCAAAGTCGGCTGGGAATGACACTAATCGTTTCTACTTACATAGAGTAGTTATCCAAAATCGACTATTTCAACATGGTCGCCGCGTCTGTATAACAACTACTAAACCTTATACGTTCATGTTCTGTGAAACTGCAATGAACCAGCTCGTTTATATATACTTGTACGATTGAACGCCATTATAACGAACAGGATGGATATACAAGGCAATACGGACCATCTAATTATCTGAATGCGTAGCCAAGAACCAACCTGGATTCCTCATAACATATAATGTTGAACTGTCGCTATTCAAACAATGCCTACAAGCCTGGAAAATTAAGGATACCTATCTTGGATTTTTTGGTAAGAAAGTTGCCATGAAAATTACGAAGATTACCATTTACTGATAATTGAATACAACTCGTTGGCCATTCGATTTGAATTGAGCAAGAAATTAGTTATAAGTGGTAATTCCCGACCGAACACTCTTGTGTGGGACGAATTTCAAATCACAAGAGGTTATCAATTAAAGGTAAAAGCATTAAAACAGATTAATGACACTTAGTGTCATTATTAGTATCAATTATACTATTGGAAACATTTTTATATTAATATGTGGTTAACTATTTGGCAATTAATAGCCATTTCAAAAGGGACCCTTTGCTATGTCATTTCAATTTGTCTTGACAAATTAGGTATTTCATCGAGTAATTGCCATTTCTGCCAAAACACATTTTAAGAACGAGGCCAACATGCACTCTATATTTTTTTTTTATTTGTGGTTGATGAAAAGATACAGAATTAGTGCACGCCATTTTCGCCAAAATCCTCACTTTCCAAAGGGCCCCTTTGCCATCTCATTTGAATTTTTGTTTACAGTTTGGCGATTTTGGCGATTAAGCGCCATTTCTGCCATTTTCGCCGAAATCGCCACTTTCCAAAGGGCCCCTTTGCCATCTCATTTGAATTTTTGTTTATAGTTTGGCGATTTTGGCGATTAATTGCCATTTCTGCCATTTTCGCCAATGCGTGCATTTCTGGACATATCTCTGTTAATTAGGATTATAATTGAATAAATTGGTGGGATTCTATTGCACTGTGCAAAATGGACTTTGGTCCAGCGTACGTACTTTGCACTCAATCTATATAGTTGATCAGTGTTTGCTTGTGTGGGTACCACAAGCTGCTTCCATATTACGAAAGAATATGCAATATTTTGTTTCCTTCCATTAAAATAAAATAACCCTAAACCTATGGTGCTCCCATGTTACTGTACAAAAGGTACAGCGAATAGTCACAACTGCCAAAGGCAGTCATTTTCGTACGTACATTACTTCAAGAGTTGTTTGGTTCTTGAATGCTTGATCAGGGATTCTCGTTAGGTTGTTACTTTGAAGCAAGCTAAAAGAGAACAAAAACCTGGATTTTAGGTGAAGAATGACAAGTAAAGTAATGAGTAAATTAAAAACAAATGTTAACAATAGAAAGGCATCAACAAGATGAATGATGCTTATGATTCAGTTGTTACGTACATTACTCTAAGTCTTGGCATATTCTCGAAGGCTCTTTCAGGGATTTCCTTGATTGCGTTTCCGCCGAGAAATCTGAAAAAAAAAGCAAAATGACTAACACTTATTGTATTTATTCAACCTGTTAACAAGGAAACATCTTAAAATTAATGGCCTTAAAAAGATTGTACAACTCAGACGGGGTGGGGGGGGGGGTGGGGGAACTTATATTTTAACGCAATTTCATACAGGAGGCTCTAACCCGAGGTCCAACCCCTTACCTTTTAAATACCAGTTTTGGCGTAAAAGATACCCCTTTCGTATTCTTGTCATTGATAAATGGTACCCCTTTCACATACTACTTTGTAACGCTGCATAACCTTTATATTCTGTAAAAGTACCATCGGGTTACTCTTTTTGCATCCATAAACTACGCCCATCAGCCCTTGTAGGTCCTTTCACAATCCGCAATGACAGATTTCCCAAACCCTTTCATATGCTTCAACTTGTGAAATCCCTGCCCTTTCATATACCTGAACTCTCAAAAAGGGTATCCCTCTTTGGCGGAGCCTTCCCGTAAAGTCCATTATATGGAGTCTCTCCCCCACCCTCGGGTTGCACACCAAGTAGTTCCAATCACATCAAATCTCTCGACAATTCAACAACTACAGCTGTTACTTTCCTGAATAAAGTAGCGTTAGAAAAACTACGACACCTGAACACTTCAGTCGTAGGTTGGCAATCAAAGCCAAGGCACCGTCACACCGAGATTAGATTTTGCTGTTTTAAATCAGATTGAGTTATTGAGCATCAACATCTACTATAATAAATAATATAATTAACAAACTGCACGCAGCCAAAGTTTCGTGAATGACAACCAGCCTTTATATAACATTAAGTTTCAGGGCTATTAGCTTCTCAAAAGGGTGTGGTGGACGAGGGGGGATTAGTAATGCACACGTATGACACGTATGGGTAAGACCTTTTCTCCAAGATTATTAATGTGATCGAAATAATTGATTTATAATGTTCTTTTTTTGTTTTAAAATCAGTTAAGTATAAATTTCTGGATTTTCATAGGTTAAAGTTTATTCGTTTTATTTTATTTTAGCCTTGGGTAAATCTATAAATTATTCGAAGTGTGTAAATATTGCCACATATCCCATTATTGTTCTTATAACATATTACTACCGTAGTTACTTTCCAAGCTTCTCAGTGGCCTTACCTCGCCACAAGATTAAGTTTAAGCTCAATCGACACGGTAGCATGCTTACTAGTATTTTTCAAGGGAAGATCTTTTTCAGGATTTAGGGATAGGCCTATCAGCGTTGAAGCGCCGAAATTGTGAAAAGAGCTTCCCATTCGCACAAGCTACTGTACTTGCAAAAATAGGTAATCCTTGTCGGCCCTATCCACACGAATCCGGGCAAGCTAAAACCGGTTTAAATCGTCTACACGACTTCGCAAAAAACACTTTGAAGAGTGGTTTCAAAAGGTTTTTCTAAGAAAAATCAAGTCAGTTGTGGGATCTTTCACGCGTACTCCTCTCGAGAGCTTTGCATAACTTGAATGTATCCTTGTCTTCCTTGTATCTATCCAGTACCCGTATAGGCTCGTATGTTTGTGGTTACTCGTATGTAGAAAAATAGCTAAAAATATATAGAAGGTACAAAGAGTGAAGGCGTCCTTGTAATCTTGCCATTTTCAAGTTCAGACAAAAGGTTGTGACGCATCTTATCAACAAAGTTCGTTAAAATTTCACTCGACTTCATAATAATAATTAACAACAAAAACTCTTTAACCCTATTCAGACCGATCATTTTTTTTGGCTTCCTGCGACTTGAAAAGCCACTCATGCTATAACTTAAAAACCGCCCATGCTACGGCAACCCGTGTTACACAGAATGATGTACTCATCATTTCCAACTTCTAGGCCTAACTTTAATACTTAGTCCAAAGAGAGGATTGTAAATGGCCAAAAAATGCCCTGAAATATTTGTGAGACCGCAGGATGCCTTTGTGCCCGGTTGAAGAACATCAATCCTAGGTTAAGTGCAATGTTGAACACTGGCGGCCAAAGGGTCATAACATCAACTCAGACATTATCCCTGTATTTATTGCTGAAGATCACAGCATCAAACATCGCATCATGGAGGACATCTCTATTGAACAAAGAAAATCCTTTTTGAATAGGGAAAGGGACTGGAACTCCTGGCCATTTACAATTCTCTCCTGACCACGTAACAACAATAAGAAAATTTAGTTAGTAGCCGTACCTCATTATTTTCTAATTTTAATTCGTATTTTAAAATTTGCTCTTGCTCTAAGCTTTGGAATTTTTTATATATACTTGCAAGAGGTAATGATTCTCTCATGATAGTTGTGAAGTGTTTCAGTCTTAATAATTAGCAACAAAAAATATAAAAAAAGTGAAACTTACAAATAATCTAAATCATAGAGATTTGAAAATATCCCAGGTGGAAGATGTACAATTCTGTTGTTCTGCAGGTATCTGCAAAAACAAGTAATAGAGAGATGACGTGAGTGTGATTAGGAAATGCGATCGTTCAGAGAAACAGTCTGCACGCATAGCACGGTAAAAGCAGTTCAACTGATATGCAGTTAGAACTGACACATTTCAATAGCATGGTTCTGTTTCGGAAAATCTTGTCTCAGTTACGCTATTTTCAATTTCTGAATATTGTCTCCAAATAATCTATTCAAATGTACAGTTACTCTGATGACTAGTTTTCAAATTCCCACCCGAACACAATGCAAAAATTCATTCGGCAAACAGTTCCAGTTTGTGGATTTTTCTATTTCACCTTTTTCTGAGGGAATAAGACTTGTAACACCTTCTGAAGCATGATACGATAACAGTGATACATGTATATTGGTTACTGAGACGTTTCTGAAGCGCTTTACCTTTTCTAGTGGACAATTCAGAGGGGAGAGGTGAAGGTGAGGCGGAATTCGCACCCAAGTATATCCATCAGACAGGAGGATTAATAAGTTAAACTACCTAATTTTAAAACAGCTTTGAAGAATCGCAAAAAAACTATCCTCTCTTTGCTTAAAAACAAAGGTAGATTTGTATGTTTGTAGAAGGCAGTGTAGTAACTTGTATTAAGTCTATAAGAAAGGACCCATCTGTAATAAAACTTAATCGCGCGCGCAATAAAGGCCCAATGTTTTTCAGAAATTAGATCTATACGCAAACCAGTTGTATGGCAACATTAAATTTTGACCAATTAAAGCTGCTATACAAAGTGTCAACGCCTGCTAATTTTCACATCGTCCACTAATTGCGAAAACAAAACGGAAAGCTATCGCAAGAGCCGTGGGCTATTTCCCCGCTCTATTAGCTTGGTCAAGTGACCTCAGCCGTGATCTAAAATTAATGGTTTTGTTATCTCAATCGAGACTGTAATGGGCATGTCTCATTTTTCAGATATTGGATTACCTCAGATGGAACCAACGTTTATATCCGGGGTGGGGAGACTCTGCATATCAAAGGATTGGGGATGGCCATGGTCGTTGGAAATTTTGAATTAAACCCCTAAAGGAGACCGATCTGGTCGTGGCCCAAGCTTTTTTTGACCCTTATAAGAGATCATGTCTGTACCAGGGTGATTGGGAGACCTTTCAACGATCCAAAAAGAAGATGGCGTGTTGGCGCTGGGCCGATTAATCAGGGATTAATGTTCCACTAAAAATTAAAATGGAAGCAGCTCGAGTAATCGCACAGTAATCTTTTTGTGTCAGCAGCCAAGTTTCGTATCACACTCTTGGAAAACAATGGACAAAATACGTCTTCTTTAAGTATTGATGTTATAGAAAACTTGGATTATATGAACGGAGTAAATAAAACGAATTAAAAGTATACATATTAAATATATATTTTTATATATATTTTGTCGCGTGCAACCCAAAACGAGCTGACCTTCACGGCTAAATGTGATGGCGTTTTGCCCAGAACACCCTAAGTGAGACCAAAATCCGAACTTTACACCTCTAAACGAGACGACGAGCATTCCATATGTGGAGCACTCCATATCCGGAGTTCCCCCCTCGCCACACGACCGTTTATAACAGATGAGGTTTTTATTACTCCTGGGTCTCGGTAACAAAAAACATCTTAAGATTAAGGAAACTTGTAACTATTATTTCAAAACAATAGGTCATTGTTCTATAACAAAAGTTAAGAGCTCTCTTATTAAGAAGGTTTTATGCAATCTGGCCCTTGGCACTAACGCTTGGTTTAAAATGTTATTACTTATTTGAACTTTATTACGCTCGGGTCCTAGTTGTTACGTACACAGTTGTGCTTTCTACAAACGTTGCCCGTTCAACCATGGGGCTTGTCTGAATTAAAAAAAGCTAAAACTAAAACTAAAACCATTCAAGTACACCTCCTCTTATACCAAAGTGGTCACGTTTGTGAAAGAGTATACGATGATTCACTGTGTGCTCTTGAGAGATCTAAACAACTGATCTAAAAACATATCCATGGTGTATTATTTATCTTCAATTGCTTCCGAGACTTCCGCCTATAATGTTATGCTTATCTAAAAACTTAATACCTCTCTTTTACATAAATTTCTCTAAAATGTTTGAAAACCATGGGAGAACTGAAATCTTAACACAGGACGAAATAACGTGTTTCCATATTTTGTAAACTCGACGGAAACATAGACTTGCTTATAGCCGTCACGTTTCCGCCCTGCGGAAATATGGTAATCTAGTTCTCAACAGCCTGTTACAGGCGTTCAAATCGTGTGGAAGACGCAAAAAGATGTAAGCAGAAAAAAAGACAACAACGAAGGGGTAGGTTAGGGGTGACAGCGAGCGAACGCCTGTAAGACGTTTTAACAAAAAGCTCGTTCCGGTATACCAGATTCTGGTATACCCTATGACTGGTCACGTGCACTTTAAATCACATTTCTGAACACGATGTTTAAAACTCGTCGGAGGTCGGTAGGGTCCTAATTTCGCCCGATAGTCTATTCCTCAACTTAGGTCCCAAATAAGTGAGCGAGTGTTTGTCATATTTCTTGGTCTTAAATCTGGGGATGGCGAACGGTGCTACTCT